ATAATAAACGAAACTCATCTTGTCAGTTCCCCCACTTACATAGATATTGCTAGGAGGCAGTGATGAAAGGGCAGCATAGGCATAGGCATAGGCTTTAGGCATAGCATAGGCAGCACCAGCCACACTGTAAGCCGCAGCGGCGGAGGGTAGAAAGGCTCGATGTAACGACAGCGGCCGATCTATAAGCGTGAAGGCGGTTCGACTCGCAAGACCGACACGGAAAGCATAGCGCGGTGACGAATCGTCTGGACGATCAGGGGACCAAGACGGGACTCACAGGCGGCACAGCTACCCAACGCGACGGCAGCAGCACGCTAAAAACCACCGCGACGACTGCCACTCCCCTTTAATCGCGCATCGACAGCTTAACGGCGACAGAGTCCCACTTCTCGGCTAGCGAGCACCTGCTAAGCCATCGGTATTATAGATGCACCCTGGGGCGATTTGGGCACAAAACCACTCGGCTCAGCGGGCATGGCAAATTGAACAACAGCATTAACAGCTTACACTAAACACAGTGCCGTCATCATCCCGTTGAGTCTGCCTCAGGCGCTGGAGAAGTCCTTGGATGACCTCCTGCTGGGCGACCGTTCGGGCACCCACCGGAGGTCCGGTCTAGTTACGAGCAAGCATCCACGTGAAGTGTATCATCCGCCATGTGCTACAGATTAAAGAGCTCAGTCTCACAACGTGACCTTCTGAGTCTGAGGCCGAGAGTCTGCTGCCGTCATCTCCAGCACCTACTTAGGTGGCATCGACTATTATGGTGTTGATTTCAACACTGAAAAATGGTATTTGGACCGTGTGCAGGCTCACTGGAAAATCAATGAGTTTCAACCCGTATTCACGGTTGCTGTTACTTCAGTCACTGTTCCTTCCATCTCACTGCCGTTACGGTACATAAAAGGCTATTTTCCCATAGTGGGAACCCTTTCCTTAGTCACGGACGTTCCACTACGCTATCGTCTCATCAGCCGTGCAAGACTGTGCCGAGCCGGCCAGGCCTCCGCCACTCAAACCAATTACCGTCATCCCGGCAATAACCCGTAAGCAGAGGCCAGCTCTACCGAGGCTTAGCTGCATATACCGCCGGTGGTAAAACAGCGAGCAATTTGAGCGCGGCAGAAAACCCCAATCAGTCTCTTAGCCTCTAAACAGGATGTGCTTATCCTCGCCGGTAGCTCGGATCTAATGGATCAGTTAGCGGGCGTCTATGTGGCAGTGCGTTAACGGTGCACCGTTATACGCTACACGATAGACAGTTGGAGGAAAACTACAGCACCCGGCGAAATCGCTAAATGCGCCGGAAAAAAGGCGCCACACCTCGAAAAACTGCGCTACCTGTTCCGTAAGGCGGCATGCTGTTCATGTTAATGGCCTTAATGATTAAACGACACGATCGCTGAGTGGTGCACCAACAAATAAAACTGCTGACAGCTTCGGACTCACATCCGCAATGTGTTTTCATCGTGACCGACGTTTACATGATTTACTGAAGCACACGGATCGCCAACCAATGCAGAAACATGGAGCTTCAAAGACAGCTTTTTATTAAGCAGCCCAAGCTAGTTAAGGGATTAGAAACTACGTAACATCGATCGAGGATAGCAAGAAGTTTTCTTATTAACAAAGTTTGCTGTGATCATGATTGGGATGCATTTGAACAAATCTTTATTATTGCCCATAATATCTGCTTTCAAACCATCTTTAGTTTCCACTCACGTGTTTCTACGCCTCTGTATGGTATTTTCACTCGGGTCCCAGTTTTAAAAGGCCTCACTCTTGGCCAATACCCTAAATTTGGAGACGGATCTAAAAGATAGACGGACTAGTGTTGGCCTTCTTCCGATAGAGGACACTGCCTTATAAGGTCACGCGGCTGAGGGCACTCCCACATAGCACACGCAACCCGGCCGGCCGGCGGGCCATGTCACGCCTGTAAAAAGCACGTGCTCCCTGAAGTTCGCTGACACCTCAAATCACGAACATCCGGGTCGGCGTTTATCCGTGTATGGGACTTTGAAATGCAGCATTAAAGGGACAGTCCCGTGCTGCCAGCAACAAAACTAAATGTGTTTCCTGTTGGGCGATCCCCGTACTTACATACCTATCGACGTTATATTTTGGCAGTCGGTATGAAACAATGCAAAATTGAGCAGGGTTTCACTTAACCCGCGCCCGGCTGGGGGTCCTGGATTTCCACGCCCTGCTGGGGGGGGGGGGTGTTTGAACACCCCCCCCCTTCTAACTCGGCTCCTGGGCCACGTAGCGATACGCGGAAGGCGGCGTTCGAAAGAGCGTCAAAAATAATGACGAAATCACATCGGTCAATTTTTTGGTCAGGTCAAAGGTCAGGTCACCAGAGGTCATTGAAGGCAAAATTTCGCCGATTTCCAGGTCGAATGTCGAAAATTTCCAAAAAGCCAACGCATAACTCGGGAACCAATAGAGCTACAGCACCGCGGAAAAGCGCATTCGATAGCCCTATTAACGCCCTTTCTGAGTAATTCTCTCAGATTTGACCTAACGTCAACGGTTTTGCCTGCAGGGGGCAAAAACTGCAAAAATAGCCGATTTTTTCGGAAACAGTTTTTCTGCACTAACTTTTGACCCAAGCCTTGTACGAGCTTACTTTTACCGGCATCGTGTTCCTCTCGTCAAGACGCATCGAATGAACTATTACTTGACCTTGAAAGGTCAACTTGAAAATTTGACCTCAGGTCAAGGTCATGACCTGACCGGAAAGGGTCATGTTGCATATCAGTCGATCCGTATCGTCGAGCTGAACACATCTAAGGTGTTTTCATCGCTCTAGCATGCCTCTATCAAAAGTTATTTGCGAAAAACTGTTAGATACCATTCGTGACCTAAGATGACCTCAGGGCATAAACAGGGGTCACGGACACCATTTTCATGTTCAGTGTGTCTAAATCACTTGTAATTCAGTGTTTGGGAGTGTTTATAATGTCTTTCGTCCAAAAGAGACGCATTTCAATTTTCTCCCATTGACTTATAATGGGGAGGTCGCAAAATTGACCTGACCTTAGGTCATCGATATCAAAATTCTGAGATATACATTTTGTACATGCTATTGCTCTTAGCAATCGCTGAAAGTTTCAAAGCGATCGGTCACTCGGTGTAGCTCTGACAGACATTGAAACTTTTTATGAGGTGAGGTCACTTCAAGTGACCTGGTGACCTGACCTTGAATGACCTTGGTCTGAAATTTTCACAACATGTGTAGAATTGATGCATGATAAGGTGTACCAAAAACGGCGGCGCTCCGCGCCGCCGTTTTTGAGATATTCGCGAAAAACCACAAGGGGGGGTGTTCAAACACCCCCCCCCAGCAGGGCGCGGGTTAAGAAATCAGTCGGTTTACTTATTTCGACTTCTTTTACAAAAATTTGGACAAACATGCATGGTAATATCTATTCAAATATCCATCAAGTGACTCAACTCCCAACCTCCTTGAGAGGCTCAATCAAACTCCATGGATATAAGACCTAACCGGACCTATAGACAACAGTACAGTGTGGTAACCATGAGCCCTGAAGCGACGTTCCTCGCCACGCCAGCTATACCTCAGGTCCGTATCACAATTACGAGAGTCGCAGGCGATCTCGCTGAGCACTGAACAGTATATCACCACACAACGAATAGTACAAGATATGCGGAACTCATTCACCGGTATACTAATGCAGATTTGACACTATCCGATCATTCCTCATATCTATCGTGCGTGCGGTGGACGCACAACGGCACAACGTGCTGATGGGATGTGTTGGATGTGTGTATCAAAATCGGGAGCTTAACATTTTGTTATGCCAAGGCATTATCAAAGCAATGATTTCCGGCGAACTGAATTAAATTGCTTCGAACTGATAATGAAACGTTCAGTGAAACTGACAACTTCGCCACAATGTCTTTAAATCGATTAAACTTTCAATATATTCTGAGTACGAATTTTTCCACTAATAACATGTCATTGTGGTCGGCTGTGCTTTAGCACTAAAGCGCGCTCATTGAGAGAAGAAACTTCCCGATAAGTTTAAAGTTCACGCAAGTTTAGGAGCCGGTGACTGCTGGCGGTGTGGGACACACCGGCTCCGTTTAACTACATCGCGAGACGAGGATCCGCTGCAGCACGCACAACTTCGCCAAAGCCATTACGGCAGCCATCATCCACTATACATATATGTGCTTTCAAACAAAAACTAAATATAACTTAATGCAGACACCACCATCCACGCGAATGGTAATTAAAAAAAAAATCATGCGTCATAAGGCGCATTGGCAACAGATGAGAATCCTATGCGGATAGCGCCTTCATTACGAACCCAATTAAGTCAGATTACCAGCCGATAAAATCACTCGTCAAATTAACTTATTGTGTTGTTGCTGTTGTTGTTGTTTTTTGACAATGCAGGCGTTATTGTTAGGTGCATACGTATACTGGCCACCAAATAAAAACCAAAATAATATTTAAAAATCATAGTAATTCATAGGCTTTTTCAATGTCCTGGACTCCTGGAGGCCCTGTGGAGTGCAACGATTTGATAACTTTCACAAGAATAAGCATTTTGAGTCGATGGTAGCCCGTTTTCCTCTTTTTTTTATCAAACAGAAGCATCCTCATTATTAATCAGTTCAAGTTCACGTGGTGCAGCTTCCAAGTTCCAACAACAGATGGCGCTAAGGACAAACGCCTGAAGGTATGCTGTGCCGCAGGGCATCACAGGATCTACGCGGTAGGAATCTGAGGCAAATTACAGGCAACACAACGAAGCTAAAGAGGTAAAAAATATCAATTTATGGCACTGAAGGACAAAGCTCCATGAATATCAATACTAAACTCCAAAACACAGCCGTGTGCCTTAGTTTGTAAGCCGGCATTCATGACGGAGTACTAACTATGCCTGCCGCGGGGCCCGGTGGCCATTTAACAGGTAACTGGTTAAGTTGGTAACGGTGGTAGCGGTGGTAACAGGTACACTTACGGCATCGGCAGGAGTAGGCCGCGCCAGGGTCGGCTTGCTGCTCCACAGGGGCATCCTGGTGCCGGCAGAAGACATCATCTCCCCGGCTGAAACACCGTCAGCGCACGTCACTCACCGAATCATTCACACGGTCAGTTACAGAAACACGTCACACATGATGGAACGTAGGGTGAGCGTGGAAGTTACAATATTTGTTACGCATCGCGTAACACGGCGTATGTGCAATGTGCAAATGCATAAAACAAGGTCAGCATTAATCGGGTGAAGGTAGGAAAGGACTGGAAACGATGGGTGTCGGGGGGGGGGGGAGGAAAACGGCCGCCACTGTTATTGTGAGCATTTTATCGACTGGGTGCTGAGCAATGCGCCACTGCAGCGGCGGCTGAGTACTAATAGTGGTCGGTATAGTGAGGCGGTCGGTATTCAGCGGTCAGCGGTCAGCGATCAGTGATCAATAGTCAGTAGTCAGATAGTCAGCGTCAGTGGTCAGTGGTCAGTAGTCAATGGTCGACGGTCAGTGGTCGCTTATCAGTGCTTAATGACCAGTGATCAACAACCACCCGTCACTGGTCGGTACCCGTCCGGCGCCGGCCGATCAGGGGACGGAGGGGAAGGGCGGGGGAGGGAGGGGGCGAGTCCAAACTGCGGCCGTCCATCAGCTCCGATCTTGATCATCGGCCAAGCCAAGCAGCATTGTGTGCCGACGGCAGCGTCAGTCAGCCGGCCGACCGGCCGGCCGAGCGGGTACGGGGCGGCGCCGACGTGACGACCGATCGACAGACCCGACCACAGGCTGATCGGACTGGACCACCGAGCCGGTGTGATTTGAGTGACAGAACACCAGGCGGTCTGACCAAACCAGACTACCGAGAGGTGTGGTCTGATTGACAGACCAGACCACCGAGCGGTGTGATTTGAGTGACAGACCGGACCACAGGCTGGTGTGGTCTGAGTGACAGACCAGACCTCCGGGAGGTCTGACAGACGAGACCACCACCGAGCAGATCGGATGAACTGACCAAACCACTGGACGGTCTGAGTGACAGATCAAATCACTGGAGCGGTCTGATTGACAGGCTGGATTTTGACGGGTCTGTTTATTGGACAGACCAGACCGCCAAAAGGTCTGGTCTGGTGGACAGACCACCGGCTCTGACTCACAGACCAGATCACCAGCCGGTCTGATTGACAGAGAAGACCACTTGTCTGATGGAACATGGGCCGGTCTGATGAATAGAAGAACAGATCAACGCGGCGGGTTAGTGTGATGGACAGACCAGACAACCAGGAGAGAAGACCACCGGGCCCGGACCGGTCAGATGGACCGATAAGACCACCACACCAGTCGCCGCGCCGTCCGCACCAGTCTGATGGACAGATTAGACCACCGCGCCGGGCCCGTCTGTCGGTCTGTCAGGTTGACCAATGATGCCCAGTGCTCACGCACTGACCGTATAAGATCAACATACGTATTGGTGGTAGAGGTATTGCATTTGTTGACCAGCTAACGTTGCCGATCTTAGTCAACACTGAACAGGCATCCGTCAGAGATGTGACTCGGTTTTGTCATTTTTTTTTTGTCTCAGTTGGTCTCGTGAGGCCATCAATAGCAATATACTGTGCTGTTTTCCATCGTCGATAGCACCTTCTTAGCATCAAAAAGCGCGTCGGTGACCGGTGCTGTGCGCCGAGGTGGTTTCCCGGGGAGGGGGCTACTATGCTTGGTGTGCCGTGTGCCCCGCCACTAGCTCGATGTGCCCAGCTGCTCAGCGATTGGCTCGGTGTGCCGTGTGTCCCACTGATCGGCGACTACCTCGGTGTTCCCCGCTGGCCAGTAACTATGCTCGGGGTGCCCGCTGCCCCGCGACTAGCTCGATGTTCCCCGCTGCCCCGCGACTAGCTCGGTGTTCCCCACTGACCGCCTCCTGCGTCTGACACGACGAGCGTGTTGGCCGGAGGAGTCCGATTGATCCGACACTCGGCCGCGCTCGGCTGGGACGAACGGATCACTGCCGCCATTGACACCAATCAGTCGGTCCTCATTTACCCGAGCAGCGGCGACGTGGCGCTGAGCTACTTCACATCTAAGTCGAGCTATTCGGCTGTTAATAGCATTCAACAATGCATGATGATAGTTATGACATGATAGGTAATAGGCATCCGAAATGACATAAATCGATCAATCAGTTTAACCCGCGCCCGGCTGGGGGTCCTGGATTTCCACGCCCTGCTGGGGGGGGGGTGTTCAAACACCCCCCCTTCTAACTCGGCTCCTGGGCCACGTAGCGATACGCCGAAGGCGGCGTTCGAAAGAGCGTCAAAAATAATGACGAAATCACTTCGGTCAATTTTTTGGTCAGGTCAAAGGTCAGGTCACCAGAGGTCATTGAAGGCAAAATTTCGCCGATTTCCAGGTCGAATGTCGACAATTTCCAAGAAGCCAACGCATAACTCAGGAACCAATAGAGCTACAGCGCCGCGGAAAAGCGCATTCGATAGCCCTATTAACGCCCTTTCTGAGTAATTTCCTCAGATTTGACCTAACGTCAACGGTTTTGCCTGCAGGGGGCAAAAACTGCAAAAATAGCAGTTTTTTTCGGAAACAGTTTTTCTGCAATAACTTTTGACCCAAGCCTTGTACGAGCTTACTTTTACCGGCATCGTGTTCCTCTCGTCAAGACGCGTCGAATGAACTATAACTTGACCTTTAAAGGTCAACTTGAAAATTTGACCTCAGGTCAAGGTCATGACCTGACCGGGAAGGGTCATGTTGCCTATCAGTCGATCCGTATCGTCGAGCTGAACACATCTAAGGCGTTTTCATCGCTCTAGCATGCCTCTATCAAAAGTTATTTGCGAAAAACTGTTAGATACCATTCGTGACCTAAGATGACCTCAGGGCATAAACAGGGGTCACGGACACCATTTTCATGTTCAGTGTGTTTAAACCACTTGTAATTCAGTGTTTGGGAGTGTTTATAATGTCCTTCGTCAAAAAGAGGCGCATTTCAATTTTCTCCCATTGACTTATAATGGGGAGGTCGCAAAATTGACCTGACCTTAGGTCATCGATATCAAAATTCTGAGATATACATTTTGTACATGCTATTGCTCTTAGCAATCACTGAAAGTTTCAAAGCGATCGGTCACTCGGTGTAGCTTTGACAGACATTGAAACTTTTTATGAGGTGAGGTCACTTCAAGTGACCTGGTGACCTGACCTTGAATGACCTTGGTCTGAAATTTTCACAACATGTGTAGAATTGATGTATGATAAGGTGTACCAAAAACGGCGGCGCTCCGCGCCGCCGTTTTTAAGATATTCGCGAAAAACCACAAGGGGTGGTGTTCAAACACCCCCCCCCCAGCAGGGCGCGGGTTAAATGAGCGTCGTCCTGACCGAGCATAATTCATAACACGGTGAACAGCCGAGCTGAGAGGTTCATCCAGCGATCGCAGGTTTTTATTAGCATATTTAGAGAATCGCACATTAGCACTGGTCCACTTCCAGCGGTGGCAATGTGTGTTAAGCACTCACTCATCAGCTGCTGCTGATGACTATTGCTAGTTCAAATAACTTCAGAGCCACCTGTACAGCACGCACGAAATGGATGTCGGGCCCTTTATCCCGCACCCCGCTGGGGGGGGGGGGGCAGAATCTGCCCCCTCCCGTTTTTCGCCAATAACTTCTAAACGCGTTACGCCAGCGACGTCAAACTTTCAGTACCTTATCATACATTGATTTGACACCTTCCCTGAAAATTTGAGCGAAATCCGTCGGAAAATTTTTGAGAAATTGACGTTTTTGTGACGTCATGTTCGCCATTTTCGCCTCAAAAACGGCAGAATTTCAAACGCCGCTAACATCTTCATTTTTAAAGGAATCAAGACGTAACAAAAAAGGTTATACGTGATTCTACTTTGTCTATCAAATGGCTATCTCGGTTTTTTGAAAATTTTGGATTTTGGCCCAAATTTTTTCAAAAAACTGACTTTTTTGGGAAAATTATTATAAAATCCAAAATTTTGAGTGTATCGAAAAAACCGGAATATATGTCAGAGAAGTAGTCTATGTGCACCTATATACCAATTTTTAGAAGAATCGGTTTAAAAATGTGGGAGTTATTCAAAATTTTATGACGTCAAGACACACAAAATTTTTGAAAAAAATGATTTTTTTGGAAGTTCTAGACCTCGTACGGAAACAAAAGTAGCACCATTCGATTCGCCGTGAAAAACTGCATCAGATAGACACCTTTTTAGGCCTTAACAACCATTTTCAAAATTTGACCTCACTTGACCTGACCTTGACCTGACCTCGACCTGAAATTCATCCAGAGGTGGTCCATATCACTTATTGAGTGTGCCTATTGAATTCTATGAGTAAAATGACCCATAAAACACGTGTCGCACATGCCCTTTTCTATATTTTGTTTTTGGTGACCTGACCTGACCTGACCTGACCTTGACCTTGACCTTTGAATGACATTGTATGCAACGAATATTGTCTTGGTAGTCTACGAACACGTTTCGGGCAATCAGTCTCAGTCCATTTTCCGGCAACTACGGTGTAAGGCCGATACTGTAGAAACTTACATTTTGTACCCTTGACCTGACCTTGACCTGACCTCTGACCTACTTAAGCAAAAAAAAAATGGGCTCTTTAGATCCGCCTTGTTGAGAGCTTTCGATTGCCGTTTTCCCCGCCTTTCTACGACCATCGGTTCGGAAGTTAGACAGGGGGGGCAGAATCTGCCCCCCCCCCCCCCAGCAGGGCGCGTATGGCTGAATAGCCCAGCGGGGCGCGGGTTATCCGGCAGGCGACTACGGCAGGCGACTACGGACACACTCCCCAGTGACTCAGCCAGTGTTGAAGCCGCTATACTGCAGTCGCCGATCGAAGGGTCACCAATTAAACCACCTATCTTCGGTACACAGCCCAGCGATAGGCGCCCAGCAGCGAAATTAGAACGTTATCTGCGCGAGAGCGACTGGCCACCGGACAGGTCCCCGGACGGGCCCGGGCGGCCACCCCACCGACGCCGGTCCAGCTCTGTAAAAATCGCTCGACGGCCGCTGATCCCCG